CCTCCCATGACGCCTAATGCACTCTCAAAAGGAGGTGGTTGTAACAAAACCTTAAAACGGGTGCTTGTCACAGAGTCTGATAGAATTTGCAATTTTTATTTTTTTTTTAAATACTTAAAAGAGTTTTTTCATTTTTTGTGATTAGGCTAAACATCAAGGAATAATTCATATAACTCTCCCTAATACAAGTATAATGGAAAATAACTCAGCGTACCCCACAACCAGTGTCCAGAGCTGTCCTGACAGTCCCATTCTCAATCGGCACAACTGAAGCAAGCTGGTCAATGTACTTGTCGGCCCCCTGAGGAAACTGAGTACCTCCACCAGGGAACCTGAACACGTTCCCCTCATACTGAATCCAGTTCTGAATAGCCTTCTCCACCGTCAAGCTCTTGTAAGGAGCATTCGCATAGGGCACATAATCCCGACTCTTTGGCCATCGAAACGGGGTCACGTACCCTTTGGGAGCCGGAATAAGACAGTGAAGCTTCTCCCCCTGGGGAGGGCAGTGCCTCTCACGGTATATCATGTTCTCCCTCGGGAAAGTCATTGCCCGTCCCTGGTCCTGGCACGGGGTGTAGTCAGTGAACCGGGTTTGGCACGGCTCATAAACTTTCACTTGTAAATCTGAATCGTCGATTATCCCGGCCTCCCCACTGTGGTGGGTCTCAAAGTTAAGGTTCGGGAGAATGTTGCAGTTTTCTCCACTTTTGGTCATCTCCACTGCTATACTGTCCCCTTTTCCAAACCCACTCCGCTGCCATGCTCCCAGCAGGTAGAAGAAACAACAGAGGCCGGCCACTATGAAAATAGAGACTGAACTTCTAGTCCTACTGTCAGACGAATTGAACTTGTTCGCCATAATGGGCCTGAAAGCATTTATTGATAGGATTTAGAAAAAGGAGGACGACAAAGTGGTTTAACTCAGACAGCCAGTCTGTTTTTTTTTTTTTTTTTTACTTTCTTGACGAAATTCGCAATCATCAAATGTACAAAAGGCAAGAAACGGCATATACTCGCAGAATCAGCGACATAATCAGTCATCGATTTCGAAACTCGATGACGAGTGGTTCACACGACTCCGAAAAAAATTATAAAATGCGTAACTAAAATCTTGTTGGAGTAGAATTGGAAGGTCAGGGCAGCTGCAGATGAGTTTTATATATGCTGTTGAGTTAGATACATGCAACATAACCATGATCTGTACATTGACTCAACGCAGATTCAGCAGATCTAGATGTCAAAGACATAAAAGACTCTCTTTTTGCTTCAACTTAAAACCAAAACAAAATGAATAAAATACTAGCCGCAAATCTATACAATGTTCCAAGATTAGAGCAACCATGATATTGTCCAAACACACAAAAAACAAGAAAAAAGGTCAAACCTCTCAAATCAAACACAACATAAGCATTACAAAAGGAGGCAACATTAAAACAAGATTTGAACACACGCATCTCAACTAGTACTAGAAGCAGCTAAAGTGTCGACGAATCATCACAAACACAAACGAGAAACAATAAAAAATTCATCAGACAAGACATTAAACGCAACTGAAAAGGAAAAAGAAAACAGGGGATTCTTAATTTGATCGAAAGATAATTAGGACAATAAATAAACAAATGTGATACCAAATGCATCAATCAGGTGATGCGAATCCTTGTCCGAGATCTAGAAATGCTGCCAGCCTCTTTATACGTTATCCCCTTCAGTCGGTTTGCAGATCCGATCAACAGCGACGATTAAAGATCTTGATTTTGATGTCCCTGAAAATGTTTTGACAGTGTGTATATATATATATATATATAGAGAGAGAGAGAGAGAGGGGAAAGGGGGAGAATGAGCATTAACTTCGACGTTTCTCTTGTACGCACGAACAAAGATCTTAAATTAATTAAAATCTGGGGTCGGTGGTGTGTGTTTTCGAACAAAGAATGAGCATTAAGTTTAGATGCGCCAATCATGACAGGATGTCCCCAATTTGTCTTAAATTATGAATGCAATGTCAAATGTCATTATAGGGCGGTAGCGCCGTAAATGACCCGAGCGGAGCTCGAGCTTAAGGTGTTTGAGCTCTAACTCGAGCTCTTAACGAGCTGAGCTCGGTTCGTTAAATAAACGAGCTAAAATTAAAGTTCGAGCTCGGCTTGTTAAGGACTGGAGTTCGAGCCTTAACGAACCAATCTCGAACTTTAACGAGTCGAACTATAAAAAATTATATAAAAAAATCTATTTTCAAGCCTTAACAAGACTTATCGAGTCGAGCTCTTAATCAATCGAGTTTTAAATGAGAACGAGGTTGGCTCGTTAAGGCCTCGGACTCGAACCAAGCACGAGCCAAGCTCGAGTCGGGCCGAGTCAGGCTCACTTAATTTAACAGAACTAACATAGAAATAATGCCTCAAATTGAAATTGGAATCGCTTTCTCACGTTTTTAATGTTATTTTGTATAAAAATTCCTCAAATTTAAATAGGCCTAGTAAAAAATAATAATAAATGATAATAATAAAGATGAAGTAAAATAAAGACATATTGACTCTATGTATGTTGAGCTCATTCTTGTTGTGTACCCTCAGTCCCTCATAACATTTCTAAAAATACCTCAATTTTTTAGTGGACATGGGATTCATGTCATGTCGAGATAAAGTCAACTCATTGATCATACCCTCCGGCAAAGAACCCACCCACAATGCACGACAAAACATCCTATGCACAGATGAGATCAAATCAAATGTTGTTGAACCAACCGCCATAGACAACCCCTCTGTCCTTAGTCCACTCGATAAAACCATTAGTCACAACCTCTTCAACTATTTCGCCCCAATGGGCGCCTTTAATCCTGCAAAAAAAAAGGAAAGCCCGTAATCTTTAAACTCTATATCAATTCATGGAAGTGGCAGTCCTAAGTCGAGCCTCGTTGCCAAAGGCAAATAAGGTAATAGACTTGGGCTTGAACTGGCCTAACTAAGTGGCACATGCCTCATCTAGTGCTGAGGTGGATGGTTCGGGTAGAAATGGGCCTGCTAGGAGAACTGTTTCTTGAACTTTCTGGACGAACTGATGGTACGCACCTTCTATTTCTCGGCAGGACTTGAATTTCATGAGAATTAATTAATGATCATTATTCGTATTCTGTTGTGTAGCTCCAATTATTTAGACTTCTAGTTAACTTATGTTGGCTTATGGCATTTTATATTATTTAATTTTGGTATAAAATTAAAATCTTATCGAGTTTTGGGTTACCGGAAATTTGGTAATCGACAGGTTGGTTTGCATTTGGTTTTACATTTCATTGTAATCGAACTTTCAGTCTGATATTGATAATCCCATGCATTTCGGTTTGGTTATTGAAACGAACCTATCTTTAATTACAAATTATTTTCCTGACAGTTCTTATATTAAAAAGGAAAAAAAAAAACAGTTCACTCTCTAGTCAAATACTAGGGCCAAAATAATTGGCCCCTCTAAAGTTAAAAGGTGATTTTGTCGCGATACCTATAGGCTGAAGAAGGAGTACATGTTTTCTTTCACAAAAATACATGTTGGTTTTTTCAAGAGTGCCTTAAGTTGTAAAATTTCGTGCACTACTCGGTTTCTTTATGTTTAGTACCTGAAATTATTCTGAGAGTACTGTTCTGCCTGCCTAGAATGTTATTAGAGTTTAGGTTTTGTTAAAAACACTTGGATATATTTATTACATGGTAATTAAATTTTGGTGAGGAGAAATATAAAAAAAGAAGAGATAGTGAAATTGTTCAAAATGTTTTTACCATAACAAACATCTTCAAATTTTGAAGATGTACAAACAAGTACAACAAGTTTGCCTTACTCATTGTGATGATAGATATATTGAACAAGCGTTGGCAGGAATGCATAGAACAAATCTTGTATTTTGTCAAAGACAAAAGAAGTATCATATGGATAACATACGATTAATCAATTGTTATAATTTGATTTACTAAATCATCAATAGAGATCTCATCAAAATCATAGTTAGGTATGAGTTATAATATTGCAAACTAAAAGAAATTATTCCAAACTCTTCTAAGTTCTCTAAAGATATTCGTCCAGTACAAAATATGGTACAAAGCTATAGTGGAAATCAATTGCTAGTACCAAATAAAGTCTAGATGATGCTGACAAAAATTGAAGAATTAATAAAAATTCAAAAGGATACAATAAATATCTTAATTGGCAATATAAATGACTTAGAAATTGAAGAATTAATAAAGAGTCAAAAGGATACAATAGATATCCTTATTGAACACCTTACGCCTTGAATGATCCTCATTCTTGAGCTCTGATAACCTGAAATATGCCGGGAGGGGGTCCCGACAGAAAACACTCTGACGCTCAATTCATAGCTCGTTCAAACTATATACTTAAGAATATATGAAATAAGAAGTAGAATGAATGTGTTGTTATAAAAAGGGAACATGTCGCCCTTATACAAGCCTTGATACCTTAGGAACGAAGAGAGTTCTTGATAGGGAAGAGATCTAACCAGATTCTGCTTCGTTAACTTACCACGTCTCTATATTGGAAAGAGTCATTGAGCAAATGATTCTTTCCTTCTTGCATGGATTCCC